CCACAAGTCTGCAAGGCCTTTTGCGAGCTTTGTTGCAAAAAAAAAGATTATTACAACAACCCCGCTGTTCCTCTCGTGCTGAACAGTCTTTCCATGGAAATTCTGCAGTGACAGTGTGACATCTGCTGGAAGAAAATGACGCTTGGGAAACTGACAGGAAAATGAAAGTAAACACAGAGGTGTGCAGCAGGATCCAAGTGACCAGCAAAGCCGGCTTCCGAAAGGTAACCGGTACGGAGATCAGGAGTGCCATTAAGTTCCAGGTCCTGCCGCCCTCTCCCTACGGGACCTTTGTCAGTGCCAGCCACGTACGGTGGGCGCATGCACACATCATGCTAAGCGATGCGGCATGGCACCTCACCTTTGGACTCCGGTTCAGACTGGGGCTTGATTTCTACACATGCATGGTTCCCCAGGGTGCCGTCATGCAGCACTAGCGCACCCCGAGCGGCTGGAGGGAAGGATGCCACTGCCCACAGTGGTACCGGGCAGTGAGACCCCATCAACTGAGAAGCAGGTGCACCAGCTTGTCACAGAGGGGCATGGCCCCAGCCCCTGAGCGCTTGTGGCGGGTGACAACCTCTTCTTGAGGGGGTGCAGCTTGTCCTTGCACTGGACGGGGATGCAAGAGAAGTCCCTCTTGGAGAAGCAGGGGGAGAGGTTCTCATGGTGCACAGTATACATCTGTTCTTGTCCCTCTCGGCTGCCCAACAGGACGAGGAACGCCCCCAGCTCATCCTCAGACCTGAAGGAGGCACGCAGCCTTCATGGGGGAATGCTGTGAAGGCGCCGTGCTCTGCGAGAAAAGGCTGGGTGCTGGAGAGCCAGCATCCACATCATCCCCGAGGTCCCCTGTATCTGGAAGCACGTGGCCCCCAGGTGCACGTGCAAGGCGGACCTCCCACAAGGAAGCGCCGACTCCGAGCAGCATGCATACACACAGCCGTTGCAAAGCACTGCTCCTGTAAAGCACAGCAACCAAGTGCCGAGCGTGGCTGCAGCTGGATGCACGATGCCCTGCTGTGAGTGAGATGCTTTCGCCATGGGTGGGCATCAGAAAGCCACCGCTGGCAAGACGGAAAAGGAGTGCAGAGCAGCCAATCACCACACTGCTGCCTACAATTCAGCAGTTGCTGGGCAGATTTGGAGAGCAACGAGTGCAGGCCAGAGCGTCTGCTGCAGCCATAGCTGCTGCAGAACTCTGTGACCAAAACAGAGTTCTTTGCCCAGTTTCCTGGGTTCAGTCTGGAAAACAAGCAGTGGTGAGGTGTGGAACCCTTAAAACAAGCCGCTGTGTTTCCGTGTTGTTTGAGGAGACCTAAACGTGTCAGGCTTCACCACGCTTGCTGGGTTCACACACAACAGGCCACTGCAGTTTCCACCATTGCTTGTCATCAGGGAGGCGAGCAGCAGAAAGATTACCACTCTATGAGAACAAGTGCTTTATTGAGAAGCATGTGCTCTTAAAAATAAAGTACACATTTCAAAAACCCAGTTCTGCAAATCCTATAAACCGGAACCAAGCATTCTCAGAGTGGTGGGCAGATGTAATTCACTAGCAGAGTACCCACTCTGGATTCAGGAAGTCTGAGGCACAACTCCTTCTATGATCGATAGTGGGCGATATGAAAGACTTTATTTGAGGCCCTAGCGAACTGCCGCTGGTCAGAGCAGGCCACACTGGACAAGAAGACAAGCCATTTGACTTGGCATAAAACAGCTTACTCTGCAGCCCAATCCTCTGCCTATTTACATAGGATTGTGGGCACTGGGTGAACGTGCACCATATGTACATAGGTACAGCAGGACAGCGGGAAGAACGGTGCAGCCCCCCCTCCTGCTCCACCACACAGTGCAAGAGCAGCAAGAAGTCCTTGTGGCAAATGGTGACACTGTTTGCCATTATCAGCGAGGGAGATACGAGGGGATATTTTTGGAATGTACACATGAGCACATGATGGATTGATTGCTGGAAGTATCTGAAAGCCCTCATTATGTAGAACTGGCAAAACAGTGGCACTGGACAGTGCAGAATAGCAGAATATAAAAATTGGTGCGTTGCGCTGCGCAGCTGGCTGCATTATTTCATTGTAATTTATTAAGGCCACAACATCTGGCCCTTGGCAGCCGATTTTCCATCTTTGTATTTCATAGCCCAGATTTCTCTCTGCCATGCTGGGTGGGGTGGGGTGGGGGAGGCAGTGCAGGGTGTAGTTTAAACATTTTGACTTGAGTATGGTGAGCAAAAGAATGAGAGAAATGCCTGAGGGAGATCAGAGAAAGGCTATGAGAAACCAGGGTAATGGTACTGAGATTATGATTATGAATATAGCAGCAGCAGAGCTGATGGCACTGCTAGGCTCAACTATCTGCCAAATCAAAACATAAAAAGACCCCTGCCAGATTTGACAAAAGACCATTTAGCCCAGCATTCTGTTTCCCACTGTGGAAAGCCACCAGCAGGACAAAATATTTATTCATTTAAAATATCTTAAGCTAACTTTCAGGGCAGAAGCACTCCCACGGTGGCTTACAACTTTAAAATTCATATGCGGCATTTTGATACAGTAATATATCAGCAAAGATTCATAAAAAACCAGATACTAGCAATAAAACATTACTAAAAACTTATTGCATGATTATGGCTGCAGAGCTTCACAGCCCTGTAAAATATAGTCTGGGCAATATCCCTTTCCCACATCAACATCAACATCTTGTTCCATAATATAATGCATGAAATTTGGATTGTGTCCAGCAGAGATCCACACATGGGGCTCAAGGCCAACTACCTTATTGTCTAGGGAGGAAAAAAGGGAAAAATCAAGGGAAAATACTGCTTCCCATGGCACTGCCCAGAGAAAACACTCTCAGCTCTTTGAGAGATGGCACCTCCTTATAGATATGTCTGTCACTCAACCACAGCCCAAGATACACAGCAATATCTCAAAGCTGTTCCTTTACAGAAAAGAGAGTAACAGAGCATTCTTATGGCCCTTAAGAAGTACAGAGCTCCAGCCTCGATTGGCGATATGCCCTTGCATCCCCACCTCCACTCCATCAGCACATCATGAGTCCTGCTGGCCGCTTCTCCAAGCTTATAAGAGTGACTTTGCGGAACGGATTTAGAGGGTGTTTCATCATGGGGAAATGAGGAGGATGACTGGTGCCTGGGTCTCCTTTACTCCCACCCTGAGGAGCCACAGTGATGCAGCCAAAACGACGTTGCAGAATGCGGGTGTGGAGCCAACTTTTGCCCTCACATTCCTCCCATCCTACATAGGATTTGTTATCATGATGTTTATTTCCCACCTTTCCTTTCAACTCAAGCTGGCTTACATAATGCACCCTTTTCTCTCAATCTTATATTCATTACAATAATCCTGCAAGGCAGGTTGTGCTGAGAGTCTGCAACTGGCCTCAAATCACCTGGCCAAGTGGAGACTAAAACCCAGAGCTCCTGAGTCCCAGTCCTGCACTTCTAAACACTTCACCACACTGGATCTCATAAAAAGGATGTTCATAATCCTCCAAGTTCAGACAGTTATGGCCACTGAAATGTGCCCTAAATCCAATCTGTTGCTATGACGAATCATGAAGAAAACCTCCAAGCAACCAATGGATTCCACCTACATTTTTGTCTCCAAAGAGGAAAAGATTAAGGACACAATCTTATTAATTACACTCTTGCTGCATGAAAACTTTCCAACAACCACAGGATTCTGCTCTAAATGTATTACTTTCCAACAACCACAGGATTCTGCTCTAAATGTATTACTTTCCAACAACCACAGGATTCTGCTCTAAATGTATTACCCTGTGTCAACAAAGAGACTTAGGTTCAACATGTTTCTTGCAGTTTTTTAAATATAAAAACAGCACTGTGAGGAGCTGCTACAGCTTCAGCTTTCTCATTTGCTTGCTCTAACCATATGGTCCAACAGTTGGGATTGACACCCCTTCTGTCATTGAGGGATGCCAACAACGAAGGTCAGGATCCCAGTAAAGCCGTCACTGAGCCTTCCTCACTAAGATATCTGGAACAGGCCTTGACTAACCTGTTTTGAAACCTGTTCACACTCTCTGCATAGAAACATCGAGATAACTTTTTATCCTAAGAGCAGCAGATCGACTGGTGACCTAAAGCAGACGAAGAAGACGAAAAAGAAGCTTCCAAATAAGCTTCCAAGTGAAATAAAACAACTTGCACTTTTAACTAGCCTTCCAGTACTCTACGCCTCAGAAGGTCAATGCAATTTACTCCCAAGAAAGTGTGCAAAGGGCTGCCGCTGGGAACCGGTTAAATTATGGTTTCCTTCAAAGGAATTCTGCAAATTAGGGTCTGCAAGGGGCAGAAAGAAACCCTGTGGCAGCCCACGGCACCTCCTCCCCATGCTCCTAACCCACGCGATGGGCAGCACCCGGGTCCGCCTCGCTTTGCAGCCTCACCTGCCGCTTCCTCCCCGCACAAAACTACCGTTCTACGGCTTCCCGCGGGAGGCGGGCGCGCGGCTGAGGGGGCGCCCGCCCCCGAGCGGCCTGCCCTGGCCCACCGCCGCCGCCGCCAACCGGGCAGATGTCCCGCGGGCGCTTCCGCGGCGCAGGCAGGCGGCCCAGCGGCTACCCTCCCCCGGCGCGCGTGCGCAGAGCGGCTGCGCGGCCGGCGCGCTGATTGCGTCATCCGAGCGGGACCGGCCGGCGTCGGGCTGGCTGGCTGGCGGGCGGGCCGC